CCCCAAAACCCCAAAACCCCAAAACCCCAAAACCCCATATAAAAGGAAAAATATAGAAATTTTCAAAATGGAAAGTGAAGCTGAATTGGCAATGCCTGTTTATGACAACTCATTATCTCAGATCAAACCAGAACAGTGGAAAAACATCCCCAAGTGAATCAAAGATGCCTTCACAAAGATCATTGCGACTACGAACAAAGGTTTGCTTAAAGTCGACAATGTGGCCATGGACTACTTCAACAACAAAAACAGAAACAACTACACCATCCAGATGATGGAGCAAGGTGAGTCTCCAGTCTTAACTCCCAGAGTCGACTCAGATCCAGAGCAATGTCGAGTTCACGATCGAACACTTCAAGACAAACATTGGGGAGTTCAAGCAGTACATCCAGGACTCCGAGGTCTTGGTCAAGTCGCTCAAGACAAAGCTAGACTTATTCCAGGATCCAATCGAGTTCAAGAAGTGGATCCTCAGTAAGGTCCAAGACTGTTCCAACAAGAGCAAGTACCTCTGAGAAGCAATGGTAGTTGATAGTGTGACTTCTAGATCGACGAACTCAAATAAAGCGACCACTCAGACTTTCGAGTATGTAAAGTCATCACACCTTGAGTTCAAGAACCTTGTTGGTGAGACCAAGAAGTTCAAGAGTCTCGGAGACTACATCCAGAGTGTAGACCGAGCTCTTAAGCAAGCTCAAGTTGACATGGATTCGTACGCATTCAGCTCACTTTAGCAAACAAATACAAAGGTTCGCTGTCATGAAGAAAGAAATGGAACAACTCATGGACGACAAAATCAGCAAGTGCCACCACCGAATGGAAATGATCATCCAACAGAACAGAGATCGGTACAATGGTAATGTGTGTGCTATTGTGTAGAAATGATGGAGTTCAAAGCTGACAGCATTGAAACAAACAAAAACTTTAAAAATAATCTCAAAGAAATCAGCAAGACTCATGCTGAAGACCTTGACTGCATCTACAACAAGTTCAACGAATTCGAAGCTGACTCAGATAAGAAGCACAAAGAACTGTTTAAGAAGCATATGGGTATGACTCTGTCAACCTTTAGACTTATCGAATTACTTCCACAATGATCGATACGAGTAGCTTCAGTTCATAAGCATAGGTCGCTCAAAGAACGACAGAGCACGACCCAGCGAATCAAAGGTAAGCCAGTGCTGACCCAAAGATGTGCGCAAAGAACTGATCGAACTGATTGAAGATAAGAACCACCACCTCCAAGACCGAGTAAGGCTCCGAGTAACTTCTAGATCAAGTCTTTGTATGTTGTTACTTGAACTTGTAGAACTTACCAGAAGCTTGAAGCTGCGAAGTCTCCCAAAGTAACTTGGCTCTGATCTTTAGAAAACTGGAAACTACAGGTAAGGCCAAAGTCTGAGAGTAGCGACTCAATGAAGAAAGTCAGAGAATATATCACCAAGTTCGTTCTTAAAAGAGAAATTCACAAAACGCTTGTCAATGAAACTCTGAAAGGGACTTCTCTGGAAGCGTTCTTGGGCCCGAAGAACTCGAAGTCTAAGAACATTCTTGATGAACTGAACTCTCTCAAGACTAAAGTGAATTTGATCGAAAACCGAATGAGGACACTCAACAGCGTACTTTGAATTTGATGTTTAGGTCAAGCTAAGCCCTGAAGTCAAAAGCAGAAACCAAAAGCAAGACCTCTCGACCTTCAGAAGCCACAAAGGCTTCATTGCAAGAAAGCAAACTATGAGACTCAACAACAGTACTCGAAACATGAACTTGGCTTCGAGCACCACACAGAACTTGGACTTGCCCAGAGTGCAGCCTGACACATACCGAGAAGGCGGCTACGATAGCACCAGAATGAAGAACAGACACTCTTCAAGACGCTCTTCAAGACAGTCTTCAAGACAGTCTTCGCGAGGACCTTCGCAAGGACAGTCACCTTCAATGTTCGACAAGTACCTAGCAACGAATCCTCAGAAGAAGCGTCTGCGCAACAGAACAGTGACCAAAGGACCTCGTGCTCTGGGAGCAAACAATGTGATCTCTCTGAGCATGACCAAGAAAGAGTCTTCTGGCAGAGACTTCGAAGTCGACTTCACTAAGCTGAGTTTTGACAAGTAAATGGCTGAGCAAAAGCCCAATAAACAGAGTCAATATCTTCGGATATCAGAGGGGTTTTGGGGTTTTGGGGTTTTGGGGTTTTGGGG